AGTTAGGAACTTGTTGCCAAGTCTGACTCGTATACGTGTGTGTGTGTACCTGTGCATGTGCACATACACGTCATTTAAAGCTGCAACAATAAATGAAAAGAAACAGCTATCAGTGGGAAGAGAAGGGGAAGTCACTGAACATTAATAGCTATCAGCTCCTTGGCTAAGCCTAAGATTTCTTATAAACCCACAGGGCTGAGGCAAGGCTGAGCTCAGTGGCGGAGTGCTGCCTAGCATACACGTGGCCCGGGGTCAGATCCCCAGCACTAAGCTGGGGGAAGGATGAACCCAGACAGCCCTGCCCATCCTCTCTCTCATCCTCCTGAATGCACAAACCTCAGTCTATTTACTTGCATTCTAGCATTATTTCCTGAGCGGAAGAAAACAAAAGTTATGGGAAGCAGAGAACTAAGAATAAGTCCAGAAAGTTGCAAATAGGATAGTCTTCCTTTACATATGTCACTCCAGGAAAACTGCCAAGAACAGCTCACTCCTCTAGCCACATTTCCTGCAGATCCTCCAGACTCCTCCTTAAGCATGTCAGTATTCTCCTCATTCTCTCTTAATTTCAAGCATCCTTTTGCATCAAGATTTCAAAGTGCATAGTTTGTTCTCTCCAAAATTCCCCTGTACCCATGTCCTACTTTTGAATATGTGGCCTAAAGCCTTGTACAGCATTTCTACCTCTAATGATGAAATTCACAGTATAAGACCACAGTTTCTTTCTAACTAAGAATTTATCATAATACCAAGGTTAAAAAAAAATAGAGCTTCTCAAGTATTTTACTAAATAAAGTATTTTTTTAAAAGGTGGTAAGTTTACTATGGGATCTTTTCTGACAAAAGAATACTTGAAGTAAAAGTAAAAACCACATAGAGGGAGCCTGTGCTTTTACAGACTGGATTCCTAGGCACCAGCATTTCCAAGGATTTACTGTATGAGCAGAAGGGTTGAGCAGAAGCCGTTATAATGGAAAGAGAGAGCTTCCCGAAACAAAAATTAAATTAACTATTACTAATTAAAATTTCACTTAAAAATCACTTATCTAATAAATCCTGATAAGTGAAAGTGAGTCTAAAGTCCAGTTAGGAAAGGTTTATTTGGGATTTAGAACCTATCATTTCTTCAACTACAGATTAATAAATTTCATTGTAAAATGAGTTGAGCAAGTAAAGCTATTTATAGATAAGTATGATTAAACTATGGGTGAATAATACATTAACCGAATAAAGTCCAGTTATTAAAGCAAGTACTCTAACTGCTGAATAGCCAACATGATGAGGAAGGAACTTTTACATTTTTCTCCATACTTATGATTTTAACTCTCCCATCCCTTAGTGCAGAACTAATGATCTATATAAACATACGAAGACTTAAAGAGCCATCACACTAGTGGTAGGAATCCTGCATTTAATTCAATGTAAAAAACTGAAAATTTACATTTGTGGAAGGTTCATCCACCCCAACCCCCAAACAGTGAATTTATTTTGTAAAAAGACTACTGAAATCAAACATAAAATGATTATACGTTTTTTTGGCCTTACATTTGATATTTTATTTTGGAAGCAAAATTCTGTTTCATTTGGAACCATCTGAAACAGAATTAAGAAGATGTGAAAAAAACTAAAAAATACTGATGCAAAACCACAGCAATATTTCCTCGCATTTCATAAAAACATTAATGAAAGGTTACATAATTCCCTAGATTAAAAATTTTTAGAGAGAACTGCAAGAGTTGTCTTTTTCAGTTTTTAGTACTGATTTCTTTACTCTTAAATCCATAAAAATAGATCTAAATCAATTCCATCTAGTTTGAAAATAAACCATCTGGTTTTCAGTTTTGGTTTTTGCTGTGTTGTTACTGTCTGAGAAAAGGGCGTCACCAAGAGTGGTGTTGCACCCTTTTACTCCCAGCACTTGGGAGACAGAAGCAGGTGATCTCTTGAGTTCCAGGTTGGCCTGGTCTACAACAGAGCCAGTTCCAGGACAGCCTGGGCTACACTGCGAAACCCTGTCTCAAAAAGACAGAAAACAAACAATAAAAGAGAAAGAGAAAAGGGCTTGAAATCTATGTAACCAAGGCTAGCCTACAACCCACATCAATCCCCCTACTTCATGCTCCCAAGTGTCTGAATTATAATTGTGCACCATCATGCCTAGCAGCCATCTGGTTTTCAAGGAAAAAAAAAACTAATCTGAGAGTAAGACAAAACACTCAGATCCAGTCTTACTGCAGCTTTAAATATACTGTAAATTTCATTTAGGTTCCTCAGACAAGTTTTTATAAGATACATGGAACCCAGTTTGCTCTCAGGGCAAACAAAACCCACCAAAACAAAAGCTCCTTCACAACCCACCAATATCTCTGTGGCTAAGCCTCTACCCCATCAGCACTTTTCTCTCTCCTCCTCCCACTCTCCTTTTGTTGTTTGAAGACCAGTCTCATTCTCTAGCCCAGGCTGGCCAAGCTCTTCCAGCAATCCTCCTGCCTCAGATGTCACAGTGCTGAAATCAGTCTCTGAACAAAGCTTTCTTTTTATTTTTTTCTTTCTTGAAATGTACATTCTGTGTGTGTTTAGCTTTCATACATGAAATATCCTAAACCAGTTCAATTTCGAGATAGCTGCTTGACGTTAATCTATCTGTACATGTGTCTTTTACAGTACAGTGAACGGAAGAAAAACTGGTAACCACGAGGGCACGTGTGAAACAAAAGTGGGCCACCTGAGGAACACCACTGTTTGTCTCAGATTCCTCTTAAGCACTCATGCCGGATTCTCAATATCCAAAAAGATTCTCTAGGATCAGAGGCACAATGCAGTATGTAATAAGATCAAAGAGATGAATCCTAATGGACTGTGTCACCACCTGCAAACTACTACAAAGTAAAGATCAATAACTTAATCCCTTAATATTGAAGGAACACTCCTGCCATATCGCATGACTCAAAAAAAGTTTGTCAAACTTTGCTGACTGCAAGACATATATTTTATACTGTGACCTAAAGCATGTATATAAGACGTTTCCCTAAACAATTTTTCTTCATTAAGTGAAAGGGTAGTGTATTGTTTTACTTTCAATAATCCAGTTGTTTGTTTTTTAAGATACTAAAAAAAAAAAAATATTCTTGGCTTAGGGGAGTAGAACTCAGTGGTAGGGCCCATGCCTAGCACATGTGAGATACTGAGTATCATCCACAGTACTGGTGTGGGGGATACCCTAATAAGATGTGTTCTCTCTCTCTCTCTTTTTCTCTCTCTCATAATTTGCTTCTATCTCTTCAGCAAGATAGGCAGGTATTCTGGTATTTTAAGGTTGCCGATTGCTACTTTTTTTCATTAAAGCAAGGTGTTCTCAGAATAAGATCCCTTGAAGAACATTAAGCATCACTTGAGATAAATTCTTGGACCCCACCCTAAGCCCTCTCAAGTCAGAAACCTCAGGTGGAGCCAACCAATCTGTAAGAAGCCAGAGAGCAACTGTGTTTACAATCTGGGATCTTTCCATGTAACGGACCCAGTACTGAGTTCCGAGCCAGTCACCACTCCAAAAACTCTAGGAATATATAATTTCTTTTTGAAACACCTGTAATCTCAGCACTCAGGAGACAAAAGCAGAGGGACTTCTGTGAGTTCAAGGCGAGCTTGGTATATACAGAAACCAGCCAGGGCTGCAGAGTAATACTCTTTCTCAAAAATATATGGATGGATAAACACATACATACATACATACATACATACATACATACATACATACATACATACATACATACAATTTAATGGAAAAAAATACCATTAAGTAAAAACTATTAGTATTGCCAGATATGTGCTGGTCCAAGAATTCTAAGTCCTTTTCAATTTAACAGGGCATGTCATGAATATCCTCTTTCTGATCAAGTCACAGTTTCACCCCTTTAGTTCAGCTACTCCTCCCCTTTTCCTCTCAAATTTCCCATCCTGTTGATGTCCTTATTTTCCAGTATTTTCGCTGTCATCCTAAAACTAATTTCTAAAGCCCTAGCCTCCAAGACACTTTAACCTTGCTTTTAAGGACAGCGTCTCTGGTCCAACTTGGCATATTAGTAATAATTAAGTTTCTCCTCTTTCCGGAAGTCCTCGCTGACACCCCTGTTCAATTCTCCGTATCAACTGTCCTGACCACTCACCTACTCCGGGGCAAGTTTTCCCAGATCTTTCAAACTCCCTTCCTCTGGGGAAATTACTCTTTTTTTCCCCTCTTACCTCCATCCCATTTTGCTTGGGGGAACTTCCACTTTCTCGCTGAACCCTTACCCTAGTCTCAAGTCCCAACTCCCACCGCTCCAAGCCTTCACCCTGAGGGTTTTCAAGTCCCGACTGCAGCCCCAGACCTGCTGGGGTGGGGGGTGGGGGGAGAGGACAGGACAGGACGCCGCAGCCCCTCCCCCGAGCAGTTAGTTCAAGGTCCCCACCCCGCAGACCCTTCCTCCTCCGGCCGCTGCCCTGGGCTCAGGGGGGTTCGCACCCTCCCGGGTGCCTTTCCCTACGCTCCCTGTCACCCCAGACCCCCGGCCGCCCTCGGTCTCCACAACCTCTCCCCCGACGGGGGGCCACTCCCAGTTCGCTCCGTTGCCCGCGGCTCCCAGCGCACCCGGACCTCCCGGGCTCATCTCTCCGGCCCCCGGGACGGCTCGCTCCAGGACGCCCCCATCGGCAGACGCCGGCGGCTCGGGGGGTCTCCTCGCCAGGAAGCCGCGCACCCACCGGAGGGCCTCCCGTCGCTGTCCCCCGGGCCGAGGCGCTCGGACTGCCCGGGGAGGGGACCTCGCTTCCCGGCCTGCCCCGCCGGGGTCCCGCGCCAGCCTACCTTCCCGGCGCGAACTCCGCCGGCAGGGACCCGGCCGTTCTCCCGCCGCGTCGCGCCCGGCCCGCAGCCCGCGGCCTCCGCCACCCGAGCGCAAAGCTTCAGTTTCCGGCCCGCCACCGCCTCCGCACCTCGGGCCCGCCTCGCCCGCACTCACCTGCCGCCGGCCCTGCACAACTCCGGCGCCTCAGACTCTACCTCCGCCGCCAGCAGCCACCAAGCGCCACCACCTCCCCCATGACAACAGGCCCGCCCCCTACCTCGCTTCCAACTTATCCATTGGCTGGAGGGGCGGCGGCCCTCTGCTACGATTGGCTGGCTGTTCCTGCCCGTCATCGTGCCTCTCCCGCCCCTTTTCCTGGACCCGGTCTTCGCCCCCGCCCGGACCTGGCCCGGCCTAGATGAAGCTTTAGTTGTAATTGGTGGAGCATTGGGCAGTTCGAAGTTATGATAGGCTACCGATAGTGTCTGTTGCCTTAACTGGCAAGGGGTGTGATGGCCACGGTTGGTGCAAGCCCTGTGCACAGTTTGGTTGCGCAGTAGAAAGCGAAGAGGGGGCAGACGCTCACGTCCGAGGTGACCGGGAAGGGTTAACTCTTTGTTGTGAGGCTAGTGCCGCAAACTCTCCCTTCTCCAGTTCTCTTCCTACGAGGGGGAGACGGTTCTGCCAGCTTATGGAGGTAACGCTTGCAAAGCACCGACTTCAGGGGTTGTAGCTTAAGGACGGTCTAATTCATCGGCAGAAAGGTGTCTCTTGCGTCGAATTTTCCCTCAGGTTTTCCTGAAGTTTCCTTGAAGTTCTTTCCGGTAGTCTCCATGCTTTAGGTTAGGGCAAAGCGCAGCTGTTTGGAAAGCAGCAGTCTGCTTCCGTTGCAGTTATAAATATCGTCAAGAAGCTGAAGTGGCTGTCATATTAAGAGTTCTCCAGCTTCCAGACCCGCTCCTCTGGGGTCTGCCCCGAGTGACCAAACAACCATCAGCAAGTTTGGAAAAAAAAAAAAAAAAAAAAAAAAACGGGCAGCGATTTACCCATCTGGTGCTTTGGAGATGAGAATTCCAATACGCCGCCGCCCCACCCCCACCCCGCGCGTCCCCATCACCACCACCCTTCCCAACAGTACTTGGCTTTTAAGTTCAGCAGTTCTTAAATAGCATTACTAGATGTCTGGCAGATACTAACGTCTGCCTTCTCTCTCCCCCTTCCTCTTTCTTTCTCCCCCTCCCTCCCTCCTTCCCTTCTTCCCCCCTTTCCTCTCTCTCCTTTCCTTCTTTCCTATCTCTCTCTTTCTACCTCTCTCCTATTCCTAGCAGTCTAAATTAGTACCATTGAATGAATTGCAGGGGTTCCCCCCCCCCGTCATTTGGTACAATACATGAGAATAAATGATTGCGTTTCTTATTCATTTGGGTACAAATCCCAGTAGGCATTTTTGAGAAATCAGGAGTTGCTATAAAAACTCTGCTCCTAGAAATACATTCATCATTAGCTTTCTCTGCTTTTCTTTTTTATTCCTGCCGCTTTCCCTGCTCCTAAATAAGAAAATGCTGGCCTGATTACTCTTTCAATTCCTAAGTCAATTTCAAATATAGCTTCTCCACAATTCCACCTGAAATATGCAAACCTGTGGTGATAAACTTTAAGGAGACTCTCAAACACAAGGCCTTTTGATGAAGGCACTCCTGTGGAACCAGGAGTGGACTTTGGAAATTTTACACTTTGACCCTGCCTTTTTGCTGTAACTTGGTGTCCCGTATCTCTTCTATTTATTAACCTCTGCCCTTTGCAAAGCAAGCTATAGAATCTAAAACTGTGCAGCTTGTTATTTGGGGGTGGGGTGGGGGTGGGGGAAAAGCTGTCTATTTTCTAAGCTGTATTTTTAGTTGAGTTTAAATAAACTGCACACTTCCATCATCAAATTAAGCGGAAATCATTCCTCCAGCAACTATACATAACAATAAGGTGGGCTTTTTTTTTTTTCCTAGTTATCTTCCGGAACCTTCTTCCCCTTTCTCTCATCCTCACCTTCCAATTTAGAAATAACCTCCCATTCAATTCAGTGACTCACAGAAAATCCATAAAAGGAAAGTGGAAAAGCCAAAATAACTTCAGAGATGTCTGAATCATTTCACTGAAGGGAAGACTGTGCACTGACCACAATAAGATGGAAGTCAAGACATAAGGCGTGAGAGCTAACATCTTAGGTGAAATAACGTGCAAATAGGAAGCTGCCCAGTGAAAATGCAGCATCCAAGCATCCTTTTACACAGCCTTTCACTGTGTTGCCAGCAGCCCCCTTCTCTCTAGCCTTGGCGGTATGCCGTACTACCATTTTTAGAGCAAGTTAGAAGGCAATTAATGTCCTAGCAGATAGGAAACAGTAACGTCATGGGAAGGCATGGCCATTATTATGGTACTTTGGGTAATAATGGCTCTTGCACAGCCACGGTGACTAGGTGCCATACAAAACATAGAATTAGGCCAGTCTCACTGAGGGGATTCGCCATCTAAGTTTAGGAGCTCAAATTGCTATCACAAAAGTTGGTGAATAATTGCCACAAAGGTCAGCCACTCATTATTTCAACCACTAAAAATAAGGTCTTCCTGGGTGCTTTTGGCCATTCCTACACATCTACTTCCTATCATCCCCCTTTGTAAAATAAAAGAAAATTTAAAATAAATGTATTCAAACAGCAAGAAGAGGGAAAACTCGAAAGAAGGGAGGATTTAGGACTCATACTAACAGAGGCTGTTGTGTTGTGAAAACTATGCAGCTCTGGGGAGATTCTTGTTGGAACCCTGCACTTTGATTTTGTACTCACAAGGTAACCCTGTAACGTAAATACCCCCCCAGCTTTGCATTTCCTCCCTGTGCTGTGTAGTTTTCCAGCCCCCACTCCCCCTCTTAGAAAGCTAGAGAGCCTTGGAGCCTACTTGTCTGCAGCTCCGTGTGGTGTGGCTGCTTGTGGAGGTTGGGGCAGATGCTATCTGTTCAGAACCTCTCGATTCAGACCATGATGACAGGCATAGTAGGAGCAAATGTGACGCTTATAGATACCAATAGAGTGGAAAATGGAGGACTCGGTGTGGCACCCCAATATCTGAGGAGTACAGCAATATGCCCGGGCCTTCTGTCTTCTTTTTACAGAGTCCTATTTCAAGGGCAGCATTCAAGTCTCCTTTTGTTTCTTTTGTTGTTTGTTTTTGTTTGTTTGTTTGTTTTGGTTTAAAGGAACAAAGCCCCACCCCCTGTGATAAGCTCCATTTCTTGCCTGTGGAATTCTTCAACTCTCTCAACCCCATTTCTGGACACAATTCCAATTCCAAATGGGTTTGGAGAAGTAAATCACTCTGAGAGCAGACAAGGGCCAGAGCCACCTGCCACCAGCCATTGGAGACAAGCCAAGATTACTTGATAAGAGGTGGTTTCCTGAGCTAGGGATCCCAGAAGGTAGAGACTAACAAGGGGGAAGGGATTAGAAAGAAAAGAGGGACTTGGGGGAAGGAGAAAGAGGGAGGAAAGAAGAAGAGAAAGCAAGACCTGAAAGGAAAAGGTAAGGAAAGCCAGAACACAGTCCAGAAGCCCCTGAGAGTGCTGAGCCAGCTGGGCAGCCTGCCCCTGCCGGTGCTGCCTGTGGACTTTAGACAGGCTTGCGTCAAGGCCCCAATAAAACTCAGTGCCTGCCACTGGTTAAAGGAAAAGTGCCTGCCCGGGAAGCAGCCTATAGTACTTTTGTTCCATAACCTCTTGGAAATCCTCCCCACATTCAAGCCTGCTGCTCTGGCAGTGAGTCAGAGCTGACAAAGGAAGGACCAAGGTATGTAGCCAGCCCAAGAACATGTCTTCATAAAGTTACGCTCTGGCTGAACACGAGGGAAAAGAAGATTTTACCATCTCAAGCTAAAGAGCTTCTAATAGATGGAAGTTCCTAGCTGTTTTCCATGCTGGAACCAGGCACTCTGGTTTCAAAGTTTAAGACTGTCAATAAGAAGGGAGAGGGAGGAGTCTCTAGAAGGGACTATTCTCTTCTAGAGGCAGAACCATTTTTTTTTTTTTTTTTTTTTTTTTTGTTCCAGAGTGCCTGTGATTTTTTTTTTTTTTTTTAAATATCATACCATGCCTTTACAACAAATATTCATTTCATACTCAGGAAAAATTATGTGCCTCCTCTATCTATCTGCATGTTATAGGTGAAAGAGTGTGCTTATTTATAAAATTGATGATGTCTTAGCTCATAGTGCTGCCATTGTGCTGTTGAAAGGAGGCCCTAGTTACTATCACCAAATCTATGGGTGGACCAGCCATTCTTCTGCAGCAGGGAGTGGGCCAACAAAGTACTTAGCTCCATTTAAACTTTTGTCCATCCCTGTTTTACATGCGTACAGGGAGTTTCCTGGAAACATGGCTGCTTTCCAGAGATTTCTCAGAGCAGAACGCCTTCTAGAACTCTCGTGTCCCAGTCACACAGAACCTGACAGGAAAGTACGTTTAAACTTGGACTCTTCCCTGCTTTGTTTTAAGACCTGGTCTCACTGCGTACGTAGCCCTGGCTGTCCTCGAAGCTAATGGCGCTCAAGTACTAGGACTGCGGGTACCCACCACTTGAACTAACACTGCCTTGAATCCTATACTCACACACACCATATTACATTGATAATTTTGGTTCTGCCATTTGCAGACTATCACTGTAACTTCGGCAAAGTTGGTTCATCTCCCTAAGCTTCAGGTTCTCATATGCAAAATGAAATGTGTATTCACTATCCGTGTAACAAACCACCCTACAATTCAGTAGCTTAAAAACAACGACATTTCTTATTTCACAGTATCTCTGAGTTCAAAATCCTGGTGCGGCTTTGCTGCGTCCTCTGGGTCCTGGATCTCTCCTAAGGTTGTGGTCACTTCATGCAGCTGCTTACATGGTCTTCGGCAGGATTAAGTTCCTCACAGAATTCACCTTAAAGCCTTAGTTCCTAAGGAGCTGCAGACAGCAGGCCTCCATCAGGGCCTTGTCTGGAGCCTTTTTACGGATCATGAAATAAAGGGCCGCTTACTTCCTCAGAGCCAGCAAGAAGGCGGCAAGAGAGAAGGCCAGACAGTGACCGCAAGAGAGAGAGAGGTTCAACAGTCTTTTGCACTCCAATCAAAGAAGTGATGTCCCGTCACTTTTGCAACCTTCTTTCAGTTAGTAGTGTGCTCTTAGGCTCTGCCTACATTGAAGGGGTGGAGCTTACTCAGTATATAAACATCAGCAGGAGGCTCATTATAAGGAACCACTCTAGAACTAGGCTACTTTAGGGTAATAATAAGTCTTATCTGTAGGGCTCATTTAAAATTGAGATGAGAGAATACATGCAGCGCAGGGCCAGCATAGATAGTGCAATGTGCAATGCACTATGTATATAACCATTATTACTATTAATGCTATTATTTAGAGTATCTAATGATTGGTTTTCTTTCCTGGCTACTGGAAGGAAACCTTTTATGAGAAAATAAATGAGAGAATATACATCATCCAATCCTGGCACGTCGTTGTAACTATTTAATAGTTACTAGTTATTATTAATGTGAGATACCTAGTTGTCTCTTCAGGCTATTATTACAAGGAAATACTATCAACTAATGACTTTTACAAGTTGATCTAATTTCCATATGTTGTGTTCCATTTTTCACTGAGTAGCCCACCCCTGCCGGAGCCCAATTCTAGGTTTAGGTTTCATAAAATATGTCCAACAAAATCATAACCTTGTCTAATTTCCTGTGTTCCTTCTACTGAAGAGGATATGCTCAAAACCTGTAAGACAGGCTAATCATGAGAGCTCTTCCAATTCAAGGAAACGTGTGCATCTGGCTTTATTCAGGTCCTGTTCAAGGCGGAGTATGCCAGGAAGTATAAGCAATGTCCTAGAGCTGTGGTCTTTGCCCTCCCAAAAGAAGGTGGTCACTGGATTGTGTTGAGTCAATCCTCAGCTGAGGACCTGAGAGAAAGAGGAAGCTTCATGTCTCCGCAAAAAGGATAAAGGAACCTCCCCCCGCCCCTCCGGGTCGGTGGTGTTGGAAACCATGAGATGAGACTGGATAATAAATAGCGATTTTATAGTTAGAAAATTCTAAGAGAGTCTGGTGAGCAGTTTAAAACCTGCTCACTAGGAGGTCAGGGTGATCCGGTAGGGCTGGGTTGAGGCGGGCTTCCTTATGGGGGAGGAAGATATTGAGGCTTGGCCTGAAGCCAGAGAAAAGAGGAACTATAATCAAGGAAACCCCATTATTTTGGCTTTGAGTCATTTCTCAAGGTTCACCCGTGACTATTATACAAGAAGACGTTGGGAGGAAGATAAAATTTTCGAAGGATAAATGGTTCTTAAACTAAAACTAATGTTCCAGCCCCAGCCTGAGCTACTTAGCAAAAACTGCCTCAAAAAATAAACAAGTAGGGCCAGTGAGATGGCTTAGCCTGTGAAAGCACTTGCCAGACAAGCCTGGACCCAAGTTCAGAGCTCACATAAGGGTGGAAGGAGAAAACTGGCTCCTGCACCTTGTCCTCTGACCTTTACATACAGGACAGCATGTGCTTGCACACATATACACATAAATTAAAAATTTTAAAAACCTGTAGATCAGTGGTTCTCAACCTTCCTAATGTCCTTTAATACAGTTCATGTTGTGTGGTGACCCCAATCATAAAATTATTTTGTTGCTACTTCATAACTGTAATTTTGCTACTGCTATAAATCACAATGTAAACATCTGGTATGCGTGATAACTGATATGGAAACCCAGTGGGGTTCAGGACCCACAAGCACTTTAGGAACCTTTAGACTGGAGCTGGCTCCAGATCCAGGCTCATCTCTAGCAATGTCTGCCGAGCGGTGCACCTTAAAGCTTAGTAAATAGTCCTAGGTGATGCTGGTGTACACTTCTGCCTCAGAACCGAGTCACCTGAGGAGCTAGGGATGGAGCTGAGTCAATAGCAGGCTGCCTAGCACACACAAAGCTCTGCACATAACCAGGTGTGGTGGTGACCCCGGAGGCAGAGGATCACAAGTTCAAGTTCATCTTCATCTTCATACTAAGTTGAAGGCCAGCCTGGACTAGGTGAGAGCTTGTTTTTGTTTGTTTGTTGTTGTTTTGTTTACAGGGCTCTTTGCTTGTTAAAGCCCACAGATTTTCCTGAGCACCACTAACCCTGGCTGCTACTCGCCCTGACACACATCCTACGCTGGTACACAGAAAGAGTCAAAGCAGAAGTTGCTGGGAATGGTCTAACAGGGTAAAAGGAAGGTATGTAACAATGTCAAGTTCCCCTTCTGGTGACTCTTATCTTCTTTTCTTCGGATTCTTTGTTTTCCTCTGTTTGAGACAGAAGAAATTAGTGAGTTTCAAAGCTTCCTAATTTCTGGAGAAGACCTCCGTCCACCGCTTAGTAGACTGGTCAGTTTCAGAGGGGAAAGAAGACTGACTGCACCCAGCGATGCTGTGTTTATTTATTCAGCCCTTTCCTACACCGCAGCGCGAGCTGCAGCCACTTGGTTTCGCCCTCAGGAAGTGTAGTTAGTGCTAGGCTTTCTTTTCCTGTTAGTTTCCTGCGAAAGGACATCATTGTCTTTTATCAGCAAGCGATAAAAAGGATGTTGTCACTCAAGCGGAGACAGACAAACATATTTCCCATCCCAGACACAGACAGTCCCGATGGCTTAGAGAATTGGTTCTGATTTTAGAAATAACAGCAGAGGCTGTTTTCTTCTTCTTCTTCTTCTTCTTCTTCTTCTTCTTCTTCTTCTTCTT